GGAAAGAGCGTACCTCTGTGCACTGGGGCATGCTGCAGCTTCAGGCAGGACCAGGAGCTGCCCCAGGGCAGGTCCAGGAGTTGGCTCAAGGAGCTGACAGCCCCAGCAACAGGCATTGCACCCTGCAAGACTGGAGCATGCCCAGCCCAGCCATAGCCCACATCCTTCTGCACATGGCCTGGGGGGCTTCCCCATGGGGCTGGAGGAGGAGTATTGGAGCTACCAGAAGGGACAGGCTCAGCAGGGATGAAGAGCTGGGAACAGAGTGGGGTGGACAGGGAGCGGCTTGCGTGACAGACACACCACGCTGGCATCTGGGTTGCCGTGTGGCCCCGTGATGCTCCCCACCTCCTGGTTGCAGATGGCTCCCCTCAGTAAGGCCTTGTCCTTGGGGCTGGCTGCCCACCCCACAGCCCCATGGCCCTGTGCTTCCTTCCCTGAGCATCCCACTCTGGGTACACATCGCTGCTCTGGACACAGCCTGGAATACTGGCAGGAGCGGTGGCCCTGGGGATAGTCCCATCAGCCCCACACCCAGGCGGTGGCTGCGCTGGGCTGAAGGATGGTCCATGCTCTGCTACCCACTCTCCTCACCACCAGTACCAAGGGGCAGCACCTTTCCCTGGAATCACGGTGAGAGCATTTTCATGACAAGAGAGGGAATTACCTCCACAGGACCCTTTACACTTTCTTCCTGAGATTTGTCATCAAACAGCAGAGAGCATCTGCCTGTGATGGGGACAGGGATTGAGCCATGCTGTGACTTCCCCCGTATGACGCAGGAGCCTGTGGGGGAGGCTGAGCTGCGGGCAGGGTCTGGGGATAGCCCCCTGATGCCCACATGTTGGTTGAGCTTTAAGTCAACTCTGCCACCAAGGTCTGGTCTTGCAGAAAATAGGTAAAAATGCCCCCTTGTAATGAACCCGTGTCCCCTGGGATTCTAGAGGGAGCTCCAGGGGTGCAGACCTGACCTACAGCAGTCAAGGCTGATTTCTCTCATCACAGTAGGATGCGCAGGCAGAGCTCAGGGCCTCCTGCCTGCAGGTTCACTGCAGCAAGCGACAGCCTGTCCACTTGCCTGGAGGGACACGCTTGTCCTTGAGCCCTCAGACGCTTTCTGCATGTGTCACGCCTGTGAGCTGTGAGAGCTCTGCACACTTGCTGCGATGCTCAGGGGAGCAGAAGGAATGCAACAGTGGCTGTGCAGGATGGGGTCCCTCTGGGCATCGCTCCCTGGATCCAACCACGGAGCCTGGGGTGCTCCAAGGATCCTGGATGTGGCTGTGCCCTGGTCCCCTGCCCCATCTCCCTGTACCCTCACCCTGCTAGAGGGCAAGAGCGGCTAAGCCTCGGCCCCGCTGCAATAGATGCCGCCTGTTTGCAGGTCAGTTGAACAAACATTTGCTGTTTATATGCCAGAGGCAGATTAAATCTTTGCTGGGAGACTGGAACTGGTTGTTCCATTCCTGCACACCTGGTCCTCCTCCTCTAAGACTGCTGTGAAAGCCGTTCCCCTCCTGTGCCCGGCAGTCCCGTCCCACATGGGGACAGGTAGCTTGGCTGCTTCCAGCTCCCTAATGCTTCAGAGAGGAACAAGGGAGGAGA